AGGAATACACAAGTATATGGAAAAGATAACATAGTCACACTAAGGAATACACAAGTATATGGAAAAGATAACATAGTCACACTAAGGAATACACAAGTATATGGAAAAGATAACATAGTCACACTAAGGAATACACAAGTATATGGAAAAGATAACATAGTCACACTAAGGAATACACAAGTATATGGAAAAGATAACATAGTCACACTAAGGAATACACAAGTATATGGAAAAGATAACATAGTCACACTAAGGAATACACAAGTATATGGAAAAGATAACATAGTCACACTAAGGAATACACAAGTATATGGAAAAGATACATCAATACCGGCTGAAACGTCAGAACAGTCGTGATACGGAAGGTCAAAGGTGAAACGTCCCGCCGAGTTCGGCAACTAGAGGATGCTGAACCCTCGCGATGTACTTGATGAGAGCCTTCATGGGAGTAAGCTTCTCGGAATGTAACGCCTAAATCTAAAAGGTTCCGCAAACATCTTTTAAAAGAATATCGAATGTTTGTATATACTTACAAAACTACGTTAGACATATCCGTTGAACATTTATATTTATGTAAACTATATAATGATATATATTTCACTTTGAAAAATAGAATATCGTTATACTGCCACAGTTTGTTGGCATTGTAAAATGGCTGGTAATGTGCTAGGGCAAACACACAAAATAGTGTTCATAATCGAGGTAGGCGACATTTATACATGTAGTACTAACGAAGGTTAGACTTGGGGCGACGGTTTCACATGCTATTTTTCTATATCGAACTTTTGTGCCCAAATTACCATGACACGTGGCCAATTGCAACATATTGCACGTCATGTGATTCAGCGCATGCGCAACACTGTGGTTATTCTTATAAAACAACATAAGCATTATCAATATCAAACGCAAAATTCACTTATTAAATCAAGCATACTTATATATATATGGCCCCTAAGGAATCAAATAAGTTTACAGTGTCCCAGACATACTGTGAAACTGTTCCGTCGACGTCACCTTACCGTTTGACTGAATTCTATTTAGAAGCGCATTCTCGCTATTGATTTACAATTCATACACATGTAGTTGGTCATTAGCGTTTTTCATTACATACTTTACAATATGAGAGTGCATGCTTCAGAAATGTTTCGGAGCGTATGGCATTAAAACTGTTCAAATGGACACGTGTGTACCAGGTTTTTGACTCAATGAGTACTTAAGGAGTAACTCTTCTGAGGTCTTAATCACGTTCAATCCTCGTTTTGATCTGGTGTAACGGGTTTTGTTATATTTAATAAAGTATGGTCAACTTTAATAGCAAACACGTATCTGAAAAATATCTCAAAAAACTAGATGCCTGTTGTTTGTAGAACTGTTTTTAGAAGATAAAAATGACCAATTCGGCGGCCATTTCGTAAATGTGTATTAATGTGTATTTCTTGCGCTTCACAAAACCCAAAATGTCATCTGTTTTGACATTAGATTGATCACTTAAATTGTCGCTGTGTCGCAATTTTTAATTGTAGCGGGTTTTATTTTGCTGTAAAACTTTATAATATTCAATATGATAAAAATAATATGCAACAAAGTGGAAAATTATACATTTTTGGTATTTTTTGTACATATTTAGTGTAAATGAAACACTTTTGATTTTTGACCCCGAAAAGGTGAAATATAACACAAATAATAATGGGACAAAAAAGAAACGAACGGACTCCCCATTTTTGTGACTGTTTTAGAAAGAGAAACACATTTTTTTTTTGATTCATTAAATATTAAAAAAATGTTTAATAGCAGAACTTTTTATGTCAAGCGTTTAATGTGCAAAAAAATGGTGAAAAAATGAGTATTTTTTCATTAAAAAATAAGGGGTAGGGGTAGCTTAAACTGCCTTTCTGAGTTAAAAGAATAAGATTAAAAAATTTTACTTCCATAATTTGAAAGAAAATAATATTTTTATTAATTCTACAAACATTCATACATATGACATATTGTGTTAAATTGGCATCTATGACCGATTATAGCACAAAAACGAACACACGGACATATACTATTTTTAGCATTTTCTACTATGCTATTAACTCCTTTTCCCAAAAATCCATATAAGAAAAGCAGTTTAACACAGGAATTGTTTGACTTCCCAGAGGTGTACATCATTAAAAAGAAAATATTGGTGATTTTTTTTTAAATGCAAGCATACTATCGTGTATTGTTTATATGATAAAACATTCGGAATATATCGAGACTTGTTATACATAATAAACTTCATCAATAATTCAATATTCGCTACATAATGAAACTATCTAACATGACATTATACTAGTACCATAAGACTTCTCTATGCTGTTAATGTCAGGAAATGGACCCTTTTCTAACTCTAATATATATGAAATGGCATCTATGTAAAGTTATTATTCGTGAGAGGAAGGAAGAAAGGGCTAAATAATAATTATAGTAATGTGTTAACGGATAATCCGTTAAGTTTCACAGTTCAGTTGCCTTCTTATAAATATATACTACATTGTAATAGTGTGCGTCATTGTATACACCGTCGGACATTGATATGTTCTCGCTATTAGAAGTAAATCTGGTTTTGATTTATTTCGTTTAACGTCTTATTTACAGCTAAGGTCATTAAATGACGTGTCTCCGTGTGTATACTACATGAGTCGTTATCAGTATGTATATGTGTGTATGTGTGTGTGTGTGTATGTGTGTATACTACATGAGTGGTTATCAGTATGTATGTGTGTGTGTGTATGTGTGTATACTCTATGTGTGGTGTTATCTGTGTATATGTGTGTGTGTGTATGTGTGTTGAGTGTATATATGTGTGTGTATGTGTGTTGGGTGTATATGTGTGTGTGTGTGTGTGTTTGTGTTGTGTGTATATGTGTGCGTGTGTGTATGTGTGTTGTGTGTATGTGTGTGTGTGTGTGTGTATGTGTGTGTATGTGTGTTGTGTGTATATGTGTGTGTGTGTGTATGTGTGTTGTGTGTATATATGTGTGTGTATGTGTGTGTATGTGTGTTGTGTGTATATATGTGTGTGTATGTGTGTGTATGTGTGTTTTGTGTATATATATGTGTGTGTGTGTGTGTGTGTGTATACTACATGAGTGGTTATCAGTATGTATATGTGTGTGTGTATATGTGTGTTGTGTGTATATATGTGTGTGTGTGTGTGTGTGTGTATACTACATGAGTGGTTCTCTGTATGTATATGTGTGTATGTGTGTGTTTGTATGTGTGTGTGTATATGTGTGTATGTGTGTTGTGTGTAGGTGTGTGTGTGTGTGTGTGTGTGTGAGTGTGTGTGTGTGTGTGTGTGTGGTGTGTATATGTGTGTGTGTGTGTGCGTGTGTGTGTGTGTGTGTGTGTGGGGTGTGTGTGTGTGTGTGTTGTGTGTGTGTGTGTGTGTGGTGTGTGTGTGTGTTTACTATATGAGTGGTTATCAGTATGTATATGTGTGTATGTGTGTGTGTATGTGTGTATACTTCATGAGTGGTTATCAGTATGTATATGTTTGTATGTGTGTGTGTGTGTGTGTATACTACGTGAGGGGATATCTGTATGTATATGTGTGTGTGTATATGGGTGTTGTGTGTATATATGTGTGTTTGTGTGTGTGTGTATACTACATGTGTGGGTATCAGTGTGTATATGTGTGTGTGTGTGTATGTGTGTGTATGGGTGTTGTGTGTATATATATGTGTGTGTGTGTGTGTGTGTATTGTAGATGAGTGTATATCAGTATGTATGTGTGTGTGTGTGTGTGTGTATTGTAGATGAGTGTATATCAGTATGTATGTGTGTGTGTGTGTGTGTATGTATGTGTGTGTGTATGTGTGTATACCACATGAGTGTTTATCAGAATGTATATGTGTGTGTGTGTGTGTGTATACTACGTGAGTGGATATCTGTATGTATGTGTGTGTGTATATATGTGTGTGTGTGTGTGTGTGTATCCCACATGAGTGGTTATCAGTATGTATATGTGTGTATGTGTGTGTGTGTATGTGTGTGTGTATATGTGTGTGTGTGTGTATACTACATGAGTGGTTATCAGTATGTATATGTGTGTGTGTGTATGTGTGTGTATGTGTGTTGTGTGTATATATATGTGTGTGTGTGTGTGTGTGTGTGTGTGTGTGTGTATACTACATGAGTGGTTACAGTATGTATATGTGTGTGTGTGTGTATGTGTGTGTGTGTGTGTGTGTGTGTATACTACATGAGTGGTTATCAGTATGTATATGTGTGTGTGTATGTGTGTGTATGTGTGTTGTGTGTATATGTGTGTGTGTGTGTGTGTGTGTATACTACATGAGTGGTTATCAGTATGTATATGTGTGTATGTATGTGTGTGTATGTGTGTTGTGTGTATATGTGTGTGTGTGTGTGTGTGTGTTGTGTGNTGGTTACAGTATGTATATGTGTTCCGGAGGCAGGGTATGTTGATGTATTCTCCTCCTTGCGATAGCGCGGATCTGATGGTGACTTTGGAGTGCCTCTCGCTGAAATACCATGCCGAAGGCACCCAACACAGCATTCCACCCGGTCACATTATACTGACAATAGGTAAACCAGTTGCTGCGATAACCCTAACTGCTGCACGTTATAAGCAGGGTTAACACATGTACCATTTTAAGGACTTTGGTATGTCCCGGCCTAGGTACAGAAACCATTTCATACCCACTTAGGCGAACGCTCAACACAAAGGCCAAAAGTGAGGTATTGCCAAGCAAGGCACTAAAAACAAAAATAGGCTTTCATGAAGAAGAGAGTAAAGTAAGAAGTAAAAAAACAATTTTGAATACAAAACATTATGATCAGAAATCATCAACTTAACACTATGAAAAGATACTGCAGACATTCCTCCTTCTACAAAACCTGCTATATAACCCAAAGTGGATTGTGCTAAAACCAGGATGCTGTATAACTAGGACTCTTTTAAATGAAGACTTCTTTTAACAGTAAAGCAATCTTTAGTTCATAAATTTTCAATCAGTTCGTTCAAGACGGGCCATCACGCTTGGAGCATAGTACGTGTGGTTATTGGTGCCTGAAGTGCCAGTGAGCTGTCGAAGGCAAGAAAGGGGGCTCACAATGTACATACGTGAAGAGCGGGTATAAACTTAATCTAAGCAATGATATTGTATTGTGGTAGTGGTTTGTTATGTATTGTATTGTGGTATTGGTTTGTTGTGTATTGAATTGTGGTATTGGTTTGTTGTGTATTGTGGCATTGGTTTGTTGTGTATTGAATTGTGGTATTGGTTTGTTGTGTATTGTGGCATTGGTTTGTTGTGTATTGAATTGTGGTATTGGTTTGTTGTGTATTGTGGCATTGGTTTGTTGTGTATTGTGGCATTGGTTTGTTGTGTATTGAATTGTGGTATTGGTTTGTTGTGTATTGTGGCATTGGTTTGTTGTGTATTGTGGCATTGGTTTGTTGTGTATTGAATTGTGGTATTGGTTTGTTGTGTATTGTGGCATTGGTTTGTTGTGTATTGTGGCATTGGTTTGTTGTGTATTGAATTGTGGTATTGGTTTGTTGTGTATTGTGGCATTGGTTTGTTGTGTATTGTGGCATTGGTTTGTTGTGTATTGAATTGTGGTATTGGTTTGTTGTGTATTGTGGCATTGGTTTGTTGTGTATTGTGGCATCGGTTTGTTGTGTATTGAATTGTGGTATTGGTTTGTTGTGTATTGTGGCATTGGTTTGTTGTGTATTGTATTGTGGTATTGGTTTGTTGTGTTGTGTATTGTGGTATTGGTTTGTTGTGTTGTGTTGTGTGGTATTGGTTTGTTGTATTGTGTTGTGGTATTGGTTTGGAGTGTATTGTGGTATTGGTTTGTTGTGTATTGTATTGTTGTATTGGTTTGCTGTGTATTGTAATATTGATTTGTTGTGTTGTGCTTTGTGTATTGGTTTGTTGTGTTCTTGTGGTATTGGTTTGTTGTGCATTGTATTGTAGTAGCGGTTTGTTGTGCTGTGTTGTGTATTGTGGTATTGTCGTGTTGTGTATTGTATTGTGGTATTGGCTTGTTGTATATATTATAGTGGTATTGGCTTGTTGTGTATTGCATTGTTGTATTGGTTTGTTGTGTATTGTGGTATTGATTTGTTGTGTTGTGCTTTGTGTATTGGTTTGTTGTGTTATTGTGGTATTGGTTTGTTGTGCATTGTATTGTAGTAGCGGTTTGTTGTGCTGTGTTGTGTATTGTGGTATTGTCGTGTTGTGTATTGTTTTGTGGTATTGGCTTGTTGTATATATTATAGTGGTATTGGCTTGTTGTGTATTGCATTGTGGTATTGGTTTGTTGTTTATTGTATTGTGGTATTGTTTTGTTGTGTATTTGTATTGTGGTATTGGTTTGTTGTGTTGTGTATTGTGGTATTGGTTTGTTGTGTTGTGTATTGTGGTATTGGTTTGTTGTGTTGTGTATTGTGGTTTGGCTTGTTGTGTATTGTATTGTGTTATTGATTTGTTGTGTTGTGCTTTGTGGTATTGGTTTGTTGTGCATTGTTTTGTAGTGTATGCTTGTTGTGTATTGTATTGCGGTATTGGTTTGTTGTGTACATTATAGTGGTATTGGCTTGATGTGTATTGTATTGCGGTATTGGTTTGTTGTGTATTGTATTGTGGTATTGGCTTATTGTGTAGTTTATTGTGGTATTGTTTTGTTGTGAATTGTATTGCGGTATTGGTTTGTTGTGTTATTTTGTATTGGTTTGTTGTGTATTGTATTGTGCTATTGGTTTGTTATGTTATTTTGATATTGGTTTGTTGTGTATTGTATTGTGTTATTGGTTTGCTGTATATTGTATTGTGTTTTTGGTTTGTTGTGTTATTTTGGTATTGGTTTGCTGTATATTGTATTGTGTTATTGGTTTGTTGTGTTATTTTGGTATTGGTTTGCTGTATATTGTATTGTGTTTTTTGTTTGTTGTGTTATTTTGGTATTGGTTTTCTGTGTATTTTATTGTGTTTACAGTTTGTTGTGTTATTTTGGTATGGGTTTGCTGTGTATTGTATTGGGTTATTGGTTTGTTGTGTTGTGTTGTGTATTGTGGTATTGATTTGTTGTGTTGTGCTTTGTGTATTGGTTTGTTGTGTTCTTGTGGTATTGGTTTGTTGTGCATTGTTTTGTAGTATCGGCTTGTTGTGTATTGTATTGCGGTATTGGTTTGTTGTGTTATCGTGGTATTGGTTTGTTGTGTTGTGTTGTGTATTGTGGTATTGATTGTGTTATTTTGGTATTGGTTTGCTGTGTATTGTATTGTGGTATTGGTTTGTTGTGTTGTGTATTGTGGTATTGACTTGTTGTGTATTGTATTGTGTTATTGATTTGTTGTGTTGTGCTTTGTGGTATTGGTTTGTTGTGCATTGTTTTGTAGTATCGGCTTGTTGTGTATTGTATTGCGGTATTGGTTTGTTGTGTTATCGTGGTATTGGTTTGTTGTGTTATCGTGGTATTTGTTTGTTGTGTATATTATAGTGGTATTGGTTTGCTGTGTATTTTATTTTGGTATTGGTTTGCTGTGGATTGTATTGTGTTTTTGGTTTGTTGTGTTATTTTGGTATTGGCTTGCTGTGTATTTTATTGTGTTATGGGTTTGTTGTGTTATTTTGGTATTGGCTTGCTGTGTATTTTATTGTGTTATTGGTTTATTGTGTTATTTATTGTGGTATTGGTTTGTTGTGCATTGTTTTGTAGTATCGGCTTGTTGTGTATTGTATTGCGGTATTGGTTTGTTGTGTTTTCTTGGTATTGTTTTGTTTTTTTATTTTGGTATTGGTTTGCTGTGTATTTTGTTGTGTTATTTTGTATTGGTTTGTTGTGTACTGTATTGTGCTATTGGTTTGTTATGTTATTTTGATATTGGTTTGTTGTGTATTGTATTGTTTTATTGGTTTGTTGTGTTTTTTTGGTTTTGGTTTGTTGTGTATTGTATTGTTTTATTGGTTTGTTGTGTTTTTTTGGTTTTGGTTTGTTGTGTATTGTATTGTTTTATTGGTTTGTTGTGTTTTTTTGGTATTGGTTTGTTGGGTATTTTATTGTGTTATTGGTTTATTGTGTTATTTATTGTGGTATTGGTTTGTTGTTCAGTGTATTGTAGTAGCGGTTTGTTGTGCTGTGTTGTGTATTGTGGAATTGTCGTGTTGTGTATTGTTTTGTGGTATTGGCTTGTTGTATATATTAGAGTGGTATTGGCTTGTTGTGTATTGCATTGTGGTATTGGTTTGTTGTTTATTGTATTGTGGTATTGTTTTGTTGTGAATTGTATTGCGGTATTGGTTTGTTGTGTATTGTATTGTGGTATTGTTTTGTTGTGAATTGTATTGCGGTATTGGTTTGTTGTGTACATTATAGTGGTATTGGCTTGATGTGTATTGTATTGCGGTATTGGTTTTTTGTGTACATTATAGTGGTATTGGCTTGATGTGTATTGTATTGCGGTATTGGTTTTTTGTGTACATTATAGTGGTATTGGCTTGATGTGTATTGTATTGCGGTATTGGTTTGTTGTGTTATTTTTATTGGTTTGTTGTGTTAATTTGGTATTGGTTTGCTGTGTATTTTATTGTGTTATTGGTTTGCTGTGTATTGTAATTTGTTATTGGTTTGTTGTGTTATCGTGGTATTGGTTTGTTGTGTATATTATAGTGGTATTGGTTTGCTGTGTATTGTATTGTGGTATTGGTTTGTTGTGTATTGTATTGTGTTATTGGTTTGTTGTGTATTGTATTGTGTTAATGGTTTGCTGTGTATTGTATTGTGTTATTGGTTTGCTGTGTATTTTATTGTGTTATTGGTTTATTGTGTTATTTTGGTATTGGTTTGCTGTGTATTGTATTGTGTTATTGATTTGCTGTGAATTGTATTGTGTTATTGGTTTGTTGTGTTTTTTTGGTATTGGTTTGTTGTGTATTGTATTGTGTAATTGGTTTGCTGTGTATTGTATTGTGTTATTGGTTTGTTGTGTATTGTATTGTGTTATTGGTTTGTTGTGGGTTTTTTGGTATTGTTTGCTGTGTATTGTATTGCGTTATTGGTTTGTTGTGTTTTTTTGGTATTGGTTTGCTGTGTATTGTATTGTGGTATTGGTTTTCTGTGTATTTTATTTTGTTTTTTGTTTTTGGTTTGTTGTTTTTTTTTGGTATTGGGTTGTTGTGGTTTTTTTGGTATTGGGTTGTTGTGGTTTTTTTTGGTATTGGTTTGCTGTGTATTGTATTGTGTTATTGGCTGGTTTGCTGTGTATTGTATTTTGCTATTGGTTTGTTGTGGTTTTTTTTGGTATTGGTTTGCTGTGTATTGTATTGTGTTATTGGTTTGTTGCGTTTTTTTGGTATTGGTTTGCTGTGTATGTATTGTGGTATTGGTTTGCTGTGTATTGTATTTTGGTATTGGTTTGCTGTGTATTGTATTGTGTTATTGGTTTGCTGTGTATGTATTGTGGTATTGGTTTGCTGTGTATTGTATTTTGGTATTGGTTTGTTGTGTATTGTATTGTGTTATTGGTTTGCTGTGTATGTATTGTGGTATTGGTTTGCTGTGTATTGTATTTTGGTATTGGTTTGCTGTGTATTGTATTGTGGTATTGGTCTGCTGTGTATTGTATTTTGGTATTGGTTTGCTGTGTATTGTATTGTGTTATTAGTTTGTTGTGTATTGTATTGTGGTATTGGTTTGCTGTGTATTGTATTGTGTTATTAGTTTGTTGTGTATTGTATTGTGGTATTGGTTTGTTGTGTTATTTTGGTATTGGTTTGCTGTGTATTGTATTGTGTTATTAGTTTGTTGTGTATTGTATTGTGGTATTGGTTTGCTGTGTATTGTATTGTGTTATTGGTTTGCTGTGTATGTATTGTGGTATTGGTTTGCTGTGTATTGTATTTTGGTATTGGTTTGCTGTGTATTGTATTGTGTTATTGGCTGGTTTGCTGTGTATTGTATTGTGCTATTGGTTTGTTGTGTTCTTTTGGTATTGGTTTGCTGTGTATTGTATTGTGTTATTGGTTTGTTGTGTTTTTTTGGTATTGGTTTGCTGTGTATGTATTGTGGTATTGGTTTGCTGTGTATTGTATTTTGGTATTGGTTTGTTGTGTATTGTATTGTGTTATTGGTTTGTTGTGTATTGTATTGTGGTATTGGTTTGTTGTGTTATTTTGGTATTGGTTTGTTGTGTATTGTATTGTGTTATTGGTTTGTTGTGTATTGTGGTATTGATTTGTTGTGTATTGTATATTTGAAGTGGTTTGTTGTATATTATTTTGTTCTGCCGACTGTTTCTGCCTGCAGACATATCTTTTTGCCCATCTATTTCTGCATTCTGTCATTATTGTTTTCTCAGCTGTCTCTGCATTCTGACCAGTGTTTCCCGACTGTTTCTGTATTTTGTCATTAGTGTTTCCCGACTGTTTCTGTATTTTGTCTTTAGTGTTTCCCGGCTGTTTCTGTATTTTGTCATTAGTGTTTCCCGGCTGTTTCTGTATTTTGTCATTAGTGTATTCCGACTGTTTCTGTATTTTGTCATTAGTGTTTCCCGACTGTTTCTGTATTTTGTCATTAGTGTTTCCCGGCTGTTTCTGTATTTTGTCATTAGTGTTTCCCGGCTGTTTCTGTATTTTGTCATTAGTGTTTCCCGGCTGTTTCTGTATTTTGTCATTAGTGTTTCCCGGCTGTTTCTGTATTTTGTCATTAGTGTTTCCCGGCTGTTTCTGTATTTTGTCATTAGTGTTTCCCGGCTGTTTCTGTATTTTGTCATTAGTGTTTCCCGGCTGTTTCTGTATTTTGTCATTAGTGTTTCCCGGCTGTTTCTGTATTTTGTCATTAGTGTTTCCCGGCTGTTTCTGTATTTTGTCATTAGTGTTTCCCGGCTGTTTCTGTATTTTGTCATTAGTGTTTCCCGGCTGTTTCTGTATTTTGTCATTAGTGTTTCCCGGCTGTTTCTGTATTTTGTCATTAGTGTTTCCCGGCTGTTTCTGTATTTTGTCATTAGTGTTTCCCGGCTGTTTCTGTATTTTGTCATTAGTGTTTCCCGGCTGTTTCTGTATTTTGTCATTAGTGTTTCCCGGCTGTTTCTGTATTTTGTCATTAGTGTTTCCCGGCTGTTTCTGTATTTTGTCATTAGTGTTTCCCGGCTGTTTCTGTATTTTGTCATTAGTGTTTCCCGACTGTTTCTGTATTTTGTCATTAGTGTTTCCCGACTGTTTCTGTATTTTGTCATTAGTGTTTCCCGACTGTTTCTGTATGTTGTCATTAGTGTTTCCCGACTGTTTCTGTATGTTGTCATTAGTGTTTCCCGACTGTTTCTGTATTTTGTCATTAGTGTTTCCCGACCTAATCAAGTGATTTCTCCACTGCTCCTACATTTTGAAAAAAGACACAAGCAGTTCCCAACTGTTTCTGTATTCTGACAAAAATATTTGCTGGCTGCTCAGATAGTGTGACAAATTAGCTTTGAATCTATCACAATCGATCCTTTGCCGCCATTCTATTAGATCAAATTGTAGACCGAACGGAATTATTTGGCATTACTGTCCAGTGTTAAATTTTTACACGTTATCTGGAAACGTCAACAGGCCAGTGCAGGAAGGGCTCTTGTTTAAATGACTTAAATAGCCAAAATATTTTAGGTTTCAGTTTGAAATGTAACTTCAAACAATACAAACTACAATGTTTATACAAATTGTGTGTTTCATTTCCCTAGCATGTCACGTATTTTTTGTTTGTACCGATAGGCGAAGCTTACATATGACAAAAGGATCGATTGACTGGCTGTCTGAGCATGTGTTCGTTTTACTTCTTGAAGGATGCGTTCTGAAGGCATCTCGTAGACTGCATTCGATTTACGTCTTACAAAGTTCCTGAAGGTTGTGTTCGACATTTTACCTTCACTTCAAGATAAAGTTATGCTTATAGTCAGGTTGTTAAAAGCACACAAGCAACTGCTGCTTAAACGTATAAAATGAAGCCATGTGTTTAAGATTTTTTTCATTATCAAGTACGCAAAGGATCGAAGCATGACTCTTGTCATTTTTTCTCAACAAGAATTGCTCATAAGGAGTATCTTTATATGTTATTATGAAGGATTTTGTAATACAAATGTGCATTGCTAAAAACAAAACAAAAATATCTTTAAAACTTTTTCAGTAGATATCTTCTCCACAAATATATTAGTTCAGAATTAAGGGTGGATGGTACTGTATCATTTTTTCTTTTAAGCGATTAAAAACTTTAATAGTTAAAGACAACAATCACAATACAAAAAGGTAAGGAATCAAAAATATACTCTGAAATAGCTTATTAGTACTAACTCGTTAGGTAAAACACCAGGAACAAATGCAAATGTTGCATTAAATATATATATATATATAGAATAAAAACAAAAAATTCCAGATCGTCCGCTAGGCCTTTCTGCCTTCTAGGGCTTCTTCAGGCGGATTGATATATATCTATATATATATATATATATACAAGTATAAAGAAAACTAATCAACAACGAGTCTTTAGTACTTTCATCTCGTCACTATATCTACTTCAAATCAACAGTGTGAATAATCTCCTTGACGAGGTGAATGTACTAAAGACTCGTTGATGATCATTTTTCTTTTTATATTATTTCTTCGTCCGTGAGGATCATTTTTTCTGCTTTCCTAATATAGATATATATATATATAATTCAAATGAATGGTGTCATTGTAGTCGGTGCAACCATTATATGATATCATATAAAAAATGCGGCTTCGGACAACGTTTTTGACAAAACTGCAATGTTTTATCTAGCCCATAATCTAAGTAGTGATTATGTCCACTAGCTTTGCTTTACGTATGTACAAGCTGATACATCAATGATACCTGCCCCCTGCAGCGTGGTTTTTCGTATATACAGTAACCTCCCTTTCATTTTATTTTGGTTATAACTGTAGCACAGTAAGGCACTTGCAAAGACGAGGTATATCAGACGGTTAGATCGATAGCGTAACAGTCTGAAGTCCGCGGTCCGATCCCTGAGGTCCGCGGTCCGATCCCTAAAGTCCGCGGTCCGATCCCTGAAGTCCACGGTCCGATCCCTAAAGTCCGCGGTCCGATCCCTGAAGTCCGCGGTCCGATCCCTAAAGTCCGCGGTCCGATCCCGGTCGAGCCCATTTGAATTTATTTACACACTCATCACACTCATAAATGAGCCATCATACTTATAAAGTCTTGCGAAAAAAAACCCGATCTCATGCTTATTTAAAGTTTTTGGCAGCAGTACGAGGATTCTTATAGTTAACCAATCAACATTAAGAAGCATAAAGACGTTTATTACAGACTTAAACTAATCAATACAGGTTTTTTTTTAGCAATACAACCTGACCTTCGGGGAGCACCTTTTGGTGAATCCAGGTAAACATCATGAAAATGTTGATCAACACACCTGCCTTCCAGCCAATTATTAGGTTGCATGAATGCAAACTATTTTAATAACTATGACCGTGCATCATACCAGTAGAAGAAGCAGAATTACTTGATATTGGCAAATGGCAATGCAGCCTCCTTATCTTCCAATATATGGCCTAGTTCTGAAAATTCATGAAACTTTAAAGTTTATCAATCATCATATCTCTGAGAGTTTCGGAAAATCTTTCCAAGATGTACTTGAATAAACTGTCCAACAGACTAACCCACGTACTGTTACCAATTTTGGGCAAGATTATCAATCAAGATAATATCGTACTTAAATCGTAAAATTAAGCTTTGTTGATAAACAGAGGAAGTCAACATATACATTTGTCAATATATTACCTGACTTCTCGTGCGAGTGATCGGGAATCGCATGTTATTTTGTATTGTAAAAACCTCAGAACTAGGTCTCATCAAAACACAACTATATAACCCTATCAAATTCAGTTTGCATTCATATAGGCTATGAATGCCATGCACTGATTGTTGATGTCATCATTAATATGACGTCATAATTGTTACGTTGGTTACCACTGACCCTCCCCAGGCGATGGCTGATCTATTCATTGAACAAGCATTAACGATACATACATTATTTGAACTAAATGCTGAATGATAATAAGTGTATTTGAATTGTTTAGGAGATGAACAGATTCCAAAAAATGGTAAATATAAGTATTGATCTGCTTTCATTGAAATTGCCTTTGTCTAGTTGGCATTCAAAGGCAAGTTGGCATTCATATTGCCTATGAATGCCAGTTGAAAGTTGTTCAATGCATAAATAAGCGTCATTTAGCAAAAAATGCTTTTATATAATCACTTGTCCATATGAACTAGGTTAATAAAGTGACGAATAAGACAAATTGCCGACGTCAACATAAACTGTGTGAAAAGAAACGGATGACCTCAGAATTAACTGCGTTTATAAACTGAAAACTGACAATATCAATTAAACTGTGTAAATGCACCGACTACGTCGATATTAACTGACGACGTCAACATTAACTGTGTAAATAAACTAACGACGTCAACAGTAACTGTGTAAATAAACTGATGACGTCAACATTAACTGTGTAAATAAACTGGCGACGTCAACAGTAACTGTGTAAATAAACTGACGACATCAACATTAACAGTGTAAATAAACTAACGACGTCAACATTAACTTTGTAAATAAACTGACGACTTCAACATTAACTGTGTAAATAAACTGACGACATCACCATTAACAGTGTAAATAAACTAACGACGTCAACATTAACTGTGTAAATAGACTAACGACGTCAACATTAACTTTGTAAATAAACTGATAACGTCAACATTAACTGTGTAAATAAACTGACGACTTCAACATTAACAGTGTAAATAAACTAACGACGTCAACATTAACTGTGTATATAAACTGACGACTTCAACATTAACTGTGTAAATAAACTGACGACTTCAACATTAACAGTGTAAATAAACTAACTACGTCAACATTAACTGTGTAAATAAACTGACGACGTCAACAATAACTGTGTAAATAAACTGATGACGTCAACATTAACTGTGTAAATAAACTGACGACGTCAACAGTAACTGTGTAAATAAACTGACGACTTCAACATTAACAGTGTAAATAAACTAACGACGTCAACATTAACTGTGTAAATAAACTGACGACGTCAACAATAACTGTGTAAATAAACTGATGACGTCAACATTAATTGTGTAAATAAACTGACGACGTCAACATTAACTGTAAATAAACTAACGACGTCAACAATAACTGTGTAAAGAACCTGACGACTTAAACATTAACTGTGTAAATAAACTGACGACTTCAACATTAACAGTGTAAATAACCTAACGACGTCAACATTAACTGTGTAAATAAACTAACGACGTCAACATTAACTGTGTAAATAAACTAACGACGTCAACAATAACTGTGTAAAGAACCTGACGACGTAAACATTAACTGTGTAAATAAACTGACGACGTAAACATTAACTGTGTAAATAAACTAACGACGTGAACAGTAATTGTGTAAATAATCTGATGACGTCAACATTAACTGTGTAAATAAACTGATGACGTCAACAGTAATTGTGTAAATAAACTGACGACTTCAACATTAACTGTGTAAATAAACTAACGACGTCAACATTAACTTTTTAAATAAACTAACGACGTCAACAGTAACTGTGTAAATAAACTGATGACGTCAACAGTAATTGTGTAGATAATCTAACGACGTCAACATTAACTGTGTAAATAAACTAACGACGTCAACAATAACTGTGTAAAGAACCTGACGACGTAAACATTAGCAGTGTAAATAAGCTGACGACTTCAACATTAACTGTGTAAATAAACTAACGACGTCAACAATAACTGTGTAAATAAACTGAAGACGTCAACATTAACTGTGTAAATAAACTAACGACGTCAACAATAACTGTGTAAATAAAATGGCGACGTCAACATTAACTGTGTAAATAAACTGACGACTTCAACATTAACTGTGTAAATAAACTAACGAAGTCAACATTAACTGTGTAAATAAACTGACGACGTCAACAGTAACTGTGTAAATAAACTGACGACTTCAACATTAACTGTGTAATTAAACTGAAGACGTCAACTTTAAGTGGGCTGTTATACCGACAAATACGACGTCAACAATAACTGTGTAAAGAACCTGACGACGTAAACATTAGCAGTGTAAATAAGCTGACGACTTCAACATTAACAGTGTAAATAAACTAAAGACGTCAACATTAACTTTGTAAATAAACTAACGATGTCAACATTAACTGTGAAAATAAACTGAAGACGTCAACAGGAAATGTGTAAATAAACTAGCGACGTCAACATTGACTGTGTAAATAAACTAACGCCGTCAACATTGACTGTGTAAATAAACTGATGACTTCAACATTAACTGTGAAAATAAACTGAAGACGTCAACTTTAAGTGGGCTGTTATACCGACAAATACGACGTCAACAATAACTGTGTAAAGAACCTGACGACGTAAACATTAGCAGTGTAAATAAGCTGACGACTTCAACATTAACAGTGTAAATAAACTAACGAAGTCAACATTAACTGTGGAAATAAACTGGAGACGTCAACGTTAAGTGTGCTGTTATACCGACAAATACGACGTCAACAATAACTGTGTAAAGAACCTGACGACGTAAACATTAGCAGTGTAAATAAGCTGACGACTTCAACATTAACAGTGTAAATAAACTAAAGACGTCAACATTAACTGTGTAAATAAACTGAAGACGTCAACAGTAACTGTGTAAATAAACTGTAGACGTCAACTTTAAGTGTGCTGTTATACCGACAAATGCAACATTAGTGTTATTTACATACCAACAAACCCAACATGTAGACATTGTAAGAATAAGCTGTGTTGATATGATGAAGAAATACATATATTCTGACATGTTCAACAATTTTCTATTTGTTGTTGTTATAATGACATTGCAATTTGTGCTAATATATCGATCTTGCCAACACATGCTGTGTTTATATAATCAACATTGCACCTTTTCAATCTTTTCTTATATATAAGCATAGGTATTAGTATTTTGACCAGGAACACATGATATCTCAGGAGGAATATGTCCGAGAGGATTCTATCATCTTTCGAGAGTCAACAAGTACCAATATTAACCTTAAAATGTCAAGAACATGAAAATATGTTTTCACAATTTTTTTTTCAGTTTTGAATCAGAATCACAACAATTGTTCATTTTCGGTAAGGTGATCCCGGAAATTATTGAGGCCAGTTAAGTGTCTTAATATGTCCAAGAAGTCGAAATACTTATGTAGTCAATTTAAACCGTTGATATATTCATTTAGTCAATATAAACTGTTGATATACTCACGTAGTCAATAGAAACTGTTGATATCCCAAGATCGACAATATATAATGTTGATATACTCACGTGGTCAATATTAACTGTTGATATACCCACGTAGTCAATATAAACTGTTGATATACCCACGTAGTCAATATAAACTGTTGATATACACACGTAGCCAATATAAACTGTTGATATACTAACGTAGTCAACATAAACTGTTGATATACTAACGTAGTCAATATAAACTGTTGATATACCCACGTAGTCAATATAAACTGTTGATATACTCACGTAGTCAATATAAACTGTTGATATACTCACGTAGTCAATATAAACTGTTGATATACTCACGTAGTCAATATAAACTGTTGATATACTCACGTAGTCAATATAAACTGTTGATATACTCACGTAGTCAATATAAACTGTTGATATACTCACGTAGTCAATATAAACTGTTGATATACTCACGTAGTCAATATAAACTGTTGATATACTCACGTAGTCAATATAAACTGTTGATATACTCACGTAGTCAATATAAACTGTTGATATACTCACGTAGTCAATATAAACTGTTGATATACTCACGTAGTCAATATAAACTGTTGATATACTCACGTAGTCAATATAAACTGTTGATATACTCACGTAGTCAATATAAACTGTTGATATACTCACGTAGTCAATATAAACTGTTGATATACTCACGTAGTCAATATAAACTGTTGATATACTCACGTAGTCAATATAAACTGTTGATATACTCACGTAGTCAATATAAACTGTTGATATACTCACGTAGTCAATATAAACTGTTGATATACTCACGTAGTCAATATAAACTGTTGATATACTCACGTAGTCAATATAAACTGTTGATATACTCACGTAGTCAATATAAACTGTTGATATACTCACGTAGTCAATATAAACTGTTGATATACTCACGTAGTCAATATAAACTGTTGATATACTCACGTAGTCAATATAAACTGTTGATATACTCACGTAGTCAATATAAACTGTTGATATACTCACGTAGTCAATATAAACTGTTGATATACTCACGTAGTCAATATAAACTGTTGATATACTCACGTAGTCAATATAAACTGTTGATATACTCACGTAGTCAATATAAACTGTTGATATACTCACGTAGTCAATATAAACTGTTGATATACTCACGTAGTCAATATAAACTGTTGATATACTCACGTAGTCAATATAAACTGTTGATATACTCACGTAGTCAATATAAACTGTTGATATACTCACGTAGTCAATATAAACTGTTGATATACTCACGTAGTCAATATAAACTGTTGATATACTCACGTAGTCAATATAAACTGTTGATATACTCACGTAGTCAATATAAACTGTTGATATACTCACGTAGTCAATATAAACTGTTGATATACTCACGTAGTCAATATAAACTGTTGATATACTCACGTAGTCAATATAAACTGTTGATATACTCACGTAGTCAATATAAACTGTTGATATACTCACGTAGTCAATATAAACTGTTGATATACTCACGTAGTCAATATAAACTGTTGATATACTCACGTAGTCAATATAAACTGTTGATATACTCACGTAGTCAATATAAACTGTTGATATACCCACGTAGTCAATATAAACTGTTGATATACTCACGTAGTCAATATAAACTGTTGATATACTCACGTAGTCAATATAAACTGTTGATATACTCACGTAGTCAATATAAACTGTTGATATACTCACGTAGTCAATATAAACTGTTGATATACTCACGTAGTCAATATAAACTGTTGATATACTCACGTAGTCAATATAAACTGTTGATATACTCACGTAGTCAATATAAACTGTTGATATACTCACGTAGTCAATATAAACTGTTGATATACTCACGTAGTCAATATAAACTGTTGATATACTCACGTAGTCAATATAAACTGTTGATATACTCACGTAGTCAATATAAACTGTTGATATACTCACGTAGTCAATATAAACTGTTGATATACTCACGTAGTCAATATAAACTGTTGATATACTCACGTAGTCAATATAAACTGTTGATATACTCACGTAGTCAATATAAACTGTTGATATACTCACGTAGTCAATATAAACTGTTGATATACTCACGTAGTCAATATAAACTGTTGATATACCCACGTAGTCAATATAAACTGTTGATATACTCACGTAGTCAATATAAACTGTTGATATACTCACGTAGTCAATATAAACTGTTGATATACTCACGTAGTCAATATAAACTGTTGATATACTCACGTAGTCAATATAAACTGTTGATATACTCACGTAGTCAATATAAACTGTTGATATACTCACGTAGTCAATATAAACTGTTGATATACTCACGTAGTCAATATAAACTGTTGATATACTCACGTAGTCAATATAAACTGTTGATATACTCACGTAGTCAATATAAACTGTTGATATACTCACGTAGTCAATATAAACTGTTGATATACTCACGTAGTCAATATAAACTGTTGATATACTCACGTAGTCAATATAAACTGTTGATATACTCACGTAGTCAATATAAACTGTTGATATACTCACGTAGTCAATATAAACTGTTGATATACTCACGTAGTCAATATAAACTGTTGATATACTCACGTAGTCAATATAAACTGTTGATATACTCACGTAGTCAATATAAACTGTTGATATACTCACGTAGTCAATATAAACTGTTGATATACTCACGTAGTCAATATAAACTGTTGATATACTCACGTAGTCAATATAAACTGTTGATATACCCACGTAGTCAATATAAACTGTTGATATACTCACGTAGTCAATATAAACTGTTGATATACTCACGTAGTCAATATAAACTGTTGATATACTCACGTAGTCAATATAAACTGTTGATATACTCACGTAGTCAATATAAACTGTTGATATACTCACGTAGTCAATATAAACTGTTGATATACTCACGTAGTCAATATAAACTGTTGATATACTCACGTAGTCAATATAAACTGTTGATATACTCACGTAGTCAATATAAACTGTTGATATACTCACGTAGTCAATATAAACTGTTGATATACTCACGTAGTCAATATAAACTGTTGATATACTCACGTAGTCAATATAAACTGTTGATATACTCACGTAGTCAATATAAACTGTTGATATACTCACGTAGTCAATATAAACTGTTGATATACTCACGTAGTCAATATAAACTGTTGATATACTCACGTAGTCAATATAAACTGTTGATATACTCACGTAGTCAATATAAACTGTTGATATACCCACGTAGTCAATATAAACTGTTGATATACCTACGTAGTCAATATATACTGTTGATATACTAACGTAGTCAATATAAACTGTTGATATACCCACGTAGTCAATATATACTGTTAATATACTAACGTAGTCAATATAAACTATTGATATACCCACGTAGTCAATATAAGCTGTTGATATACACACGTAGTCAAAATAAACTGTTGATATACACACGTAGTCAATATAAACTGTTTATATACCCACGTAGTCAATATAGACTGTTAATATACTAACGTAGTCAATATATACTGTTAGTATATCAACTGTTGATATACACACGTAGTCAAAATAAACTGTTGATATACACACGTAGTCAAAATAAACTGTTGATATACACACGTAGTCAATATAAACTGTTTATATACCTACGTAGTCAATATAAACTATTAATATACCCACGTAGTCAAAATAAACTGTTGATATACTCACGTAGTCAATATATACTGTTGATATACTCAGGTAGTCAATATAAACTGTTGATATACTCAGGTAGTCAATATAAACTGTTGATATACTAACGTAGTCAATATAAACTATTGATATACTCACGTAGTCAATATAAACTGTTGATATACCCACGTAGTCAATATAAACTGTTGATATACTAACGGAGTCAATATATACTGTTGATATACTCACGGAGTCAATATATACTGTTGATATACTCACGTAGTCAATATAAACTGTTGATATACCCACGTAGTCAATATATACTGTTGATATACTCACGTCGTCGATATAAACTATTGATATACTCACGTAGTCAATATATACTGTTGATATACCCACGTAGTCAATATAAACTATTGATATACTCACGTAGTCAATATAAACTATTGATATACTCACGTAGTCAATATCGTATTAGTTATCTCGTGGTTAGGAGGTGTCTACGGGCTCAAAGCCCCGTCTGGTCTTGATAGACCCAGAGTTGAAGGCTGTTGATATATTTACCTAGTCAGTATTAACATACGAAGTCGACATACTGAGTGTTCAACAGATACCTTGATATGACGACAAAACTATCAGTATAAAGATGATGTCAACACAAACTGTATTGCTTTGCTGATATTTCGACGTCATCAAAATATACTAAGTTGGTGTGCGGACAAAGTCAACACATAAAGTGATAATAAATTGACGATGTCAGCAATGTTTTGTTTTTTACTTAGGGGGTCAACATAAAGTGTTGATACAGCCACGTGGTCAAAATGCCACGTGTCCATATGCTAACTTGACGAAACCAACACTATCTTTTTCGATATATTAATGGGGTCAACATTAAATAATTTTAAATAGTGACAAAGACCAGCATTAACTGTGTTGCTATTCTAACAGTCAACATAGACAGTCGTTATAAGGAGACGTCGTCGACATAAATTAGTTTTGTAACTACCGAAGACATAAGGTGTCTGACTAACATTGTCAACATAAACTGCTGATATATATTGACATAGCTACATATAACATAAACTTTGTTGATATATTGATGAGTGCAACACCCACTATGTTGATTTAATCGGATGGAACACATATAAACATTTAAGCTCAGGAAGGTACCTTATTAGTGAATGTTTTACTAGAGACAAAACATACACAAGAAACGTTTGTAAATGTTTCCAGGTCAAGTATCTGGTATACAGTAGCTGCATCAAAACATGGTGACTATATACGGCTATATTTATAGTTAGGTGTCTGTGTATGCGTATTCCCTAATTTTTGGACGACATACAACAACAAAAACAAGTATAGTTTCCCCTTAATTGTATCAATAAGGTAAGAAAGAAAATATTTACCTGTAGTTTTTCTGGAGTCTGGGATCCCGCAAGGGTGAAGGACCCCGCAACTTTTTAACACAATGTCGGCCTCAACCCTGTCGCCATCATACGTATCCATATCAGTCAGGTTTGCGAGTATATTATTCGAAAAAGGTTCTGGTTCTTCTTCCTTATAGAAATTAAACACAAACGAGGATATGAGATTGCCCCAGATATGTGTTGTCTGAAAGCACGCAAGAAATACCCCATGAAACCGGAGGACCTCTTTGTCTATATTGCCCCTACTTACACGAGAAGAGTCAAATGCCAGTTTCAAAATGTACGAAATTTCTGCAGTCCACAGAATTCCTTGACCACATCCAGAAAATATGGCAGTTGGTATGAGTGTGTAAAATGTAGGGTAGAAGTTAGCTCCGATCCATGTGAGAAAGCTGAACATTCCTATAACAAGAGCCCATTTAGCAGATAATTTGTTGATGATAGAAGGTGCCCACAAACAGGTTAAAAACATAGTTCCGTGAACTACCGCCATTGCGATAATTCCTAAATTGTTTTTGTCGTTGATAGAGCTTTGGAGGTTCTGTATGGCCCTGAAGGAGGAAAACAGTGTGATGAAACTTATACACAAAAACACTAAATTTTTCTTGAATGTAAAAACAATTACAGATGGCACAGTACTGCTGAGTTCAGAGCACGGTGTCCCGACATTTTCTTTTGTGTTGTCTTGACAACCAACATGATTCTCATCAGTTATTGGAAGTTTTTTGCCGCCTCCACCTTTGTTGTGATTAGGGCTCTGTGTATTTAGGTCGTCGTTTAGTTTGTAAACAGATTGTTTAGGTTTTGTGATTTTAGATCTACAAGCAATTGCTGTTTTAAGCTCGTCAATGTGGTCCGGAGCACCTCCTCCGCCACCGGAAGTAGTGAGACTAACAGACATCCGGTTATTTGGTGTGTGGTTCATTCGAAATTGTTGTTGATGTTGTTGTTGATGTTGCTGTTGCTGTTGTTGTTGCTGTTGTTTTTTTTGTTGTTTTTCGTCGTTTTTGATATTGTCTTGTACATGGGAAGCTGATGTCATCATAACGTTATTTCCGGTGGGTTTATGTGACGGGCAAGTGTCCAGAACTGACCTTAATTCGATGGCATCGTCCCCTCTCCGCGTGGCTCTTACATAGCTCTCTTTCCGTCCTCTCTTAGTAAGGTAACCTTCAATGAAATCCGTTTGCTCCTCAACATCAGCCGCGCTTTTCTTGACGGCGTACCTGTAACTTTCTGTTCTTTGTCTACCTGCTTGTGTAGCATATGTATAACTCGGTCTCCGGGGCCTATAAAGCCCAAATCCAGCCCCGAGGCCAGTCATGTCAAACGGGGAAAGAGTCGACGATGACGTCGACATTTTGTTTTCAAACAGGCTGTTCTGCTACCACAAAAGGTAGACAATACGAGTTATCGGCCAATCCTCTACTGTGCCTGGTTATGATGAAGTTGACATGTTGTGTGATAAAACGACGTGCACGTTTAAGCAACAAAACAAATTGGCACTCATTAGGTAATATTCCGCTCTGGTTTGTTAAATTTCAAGCAACCATGCGTAACTCCCAAATCTAACGTATCCGTTTGTATCAAGAAAATAGAACCGTAGCGAGCTGACTCACAGGGCCTGGAGGACAAGACAAGCGTTATGGCCAGTTCTGGTCTTGTTAATAATATACGACAATGTTAATATAATTGTTTTAATGTCCACATCCCCAATATCTAAGTCATCGTTTGGGAATTCGGTTGTGAAGAAATTGACTACAGCTGTACATATGCCAGTCTGTATGGTAATTTGATCGTCCCTCGATCAATACTCTCAATAATCGGTTCCTTCACTGTTTAATTAACCTTCACGCCAACTTGCTTCGTCTTTACATCAGTTCCAACATAAGGCTCGACGAAGCTGCTTTGTCGTTAGCTTTCACCGTGTTATTCCACAATACAGAGTACAGCGACGTTTACACATCACATTAGGCAGATACAGCAAACTTAACACATATAAGAACCGGCACACACGGGAAACACAGACCTGTGGTTCAATCTAGACTGTGTAGACTGCTTAAACAAACACGCTGACATGCATGCACATCACGGAGACCATTTTGCGCTGCCTATTCCGGTGTTAAACCCACGGATATATTATTTCTAGCTTACAGTGTTAAACGTTGACTAAGTGTGTATTCCACTATTCCTGGAAAAGAGACCAACTAGTTCAACGACCAAGCTCTCCTACACATATGCTGAGCCAAACACAATCGATGGAGCAGGCTCGCCTCCTGGCGTATACAACCTATAGCGCCGCAGCTAGCCTGGTTACACAGCCTAACCATGTTCAAATACAAAAGGAATTTAACAAGATGCCGTCTCTAAATATTCACATCAAATTGCTTGTTCTTCGTGTTCCTTGTAAGACTGGAGTATACATAAATGTACTGCACAATCAATGACTGACCACCATCCAAGTTGGATAATGGCGTACAAAAGTCATCTTATAGATGATAATGTTATAGCAAAAGCCTGCCTGCTTAGAGCTCGCCCGCCGCTTGTTTCTCCCCACAAAGTGCCTAGATTTGCCAATGTCTTGTCCCGTGACAAACTGTAGCCGTCTATACTAGGATGGCGGAATCGACGCTTTAACGCTGGAGTGGGATTCGGAATGCAGATTATCACTGACATTAAAAAACATACCAGGCTCGGTATAGATATGTGTTTAATTATGATGATCTTCCATTTGAAAAATATATCACAGTCTAGATCGCTATAGACAGGCTTATGAGGTGGTTTTTTTTATATAATCATTGCTACTTGTTTAGCATAATCTGTTGGTAAAGTTTCTCGGCTTGATTCGATGGAGCCGGGGATTTTTTTTTATTTTTTTTTTAATTAACTAGCGGATTAGAGTAAACATGATCTGCTGTCTACTACTAAACTATGTCGGTTGTAGTCTCAAACCGTACGATATATTTAAAATATTTTTTTGTTATGGAGGAATTTTTTTTAATTGAGCTTTGAACCACTGTTTTGCTGTTAAATTATACACATCGAGCGTTTTTAGATTTATCGTTTCGTTCAAAAACAAGATGATCAGTGACCTGTGAGATTTATTGAAAATATGCAACCAATAATCGGAGAAAACGCGCATGCAAGGTACGTCAGTGAATCACAGCAGAACTGCCTCCATAAACAGTAGCATGTAGGACCCGAAACACTCATTTAAAAATGATTTTTCGATCTCACCATCGCCAAATGTCCAAATAGATATTATATGATGCAAATGGATACCGTGAACCATGCAGGTACGAACAGGTGTAAATGAGTGTGTATTTTTGTGAATATCTTTACACATACCCGTATGTAGTTCTTGGTGGCTCCTTATAACCGGAGAGTATAAACTCTATATATACAATTGTTGTTCTGTCTGCTATTTATAAAATTGATTTTGTTGCTATCGTCAAATCAACTAGAATAACTAAAAACAAGTTGTATAGCCTGTGATATGCTGTTCCTATTCATGGCTAAAAACGGGTCAAAATTCACCGTGAGTTTGGCGTTCTATTTTTTTAAAATAAATTACTCAGAATCAAGACTAGTTTTGTGAATAATATAAACCCCCATGGAAAGTTTTTATGAAGAATCAAGAAACGTTCCAAAAACATGATCTATATTGTTAATATAAAAAAACAGTAAAAATTGTAACATTTGTTACATCTATTTCAATATCCTCTATCTCAATATATCCTCTATCTCAATATCCTCTATCTCAATATCCTTTATCTCAATATACTCTATCTCAATATCCTCTATCTTAATATCCTTTTTTCTCAATATCCTCTATCTCAACGTCTTCTATTTAAATAACCTCTATCTCATTATCCTTTATCTCAATATCCTCTATCTCCATATCCTTTATCTCAATATCCTCGTGCTCAATATCCTCTATCTCAATATCCCCTATCTCAATATCCTCTATCTCAGTATCCTCTATCTTAATATCCTTTTTTCTCAATATCCTCTATCTCAACGTCTTCTATTTAAATAACCTCTATCTCATTATCCTTTATCTCAATATCCTCTATCTCAATATCCTTTATCTCAATATCCTCTATCTCAATATCCTCTATCTTAATATCCTTTTTTCTCAATATCCTCTATCTCAATGTCTTCTATTTAAATAACCTCTATCTCAATATCCTTTATCTCAATATCCTCTATCTCAATATCCTCTATCTCAATATCCTCTATCTCAATATATCCTCTATCTCAATATCTTCTATTTCAATATCATCTATCTTAATATCCACTATTTCAATATCCTCTTTCTCAATATTCTCTATCTTAATATCCTCTATCTAAATATCCTTTATCTCAATATCCTCTATCTCAATATCCTCTATTTCAATATCCTCTATCTCAATATCCTCTATCTCAATGTCTTCTATTTAAATATCCTCTATCTCAATATCCTCTATCTCAATGTCTTCTATCTCAATATCCTCTATCTCAATATCCTCTATTTCAATATCCTTTATCTCAATATCCTCTATCTCAAAATCCTCTATCTCAATATCCACTATTTCAATATCCTCTATCTTAATATCCTCTATCTCAATATCCTCTATCTCAATATCCTTTATCTCAATATCCTCTATCTCAATATTCACTATTTCAATATCCTCTATCTTAATATCCTTTATCTCAATATCCTCTATCTCAATATCTTCCATCTCAATATATCATCTATCTTAATATCCACTATTTCAATATCCTTTATCTCAATATCCTCTTTCTCAATATCCTCAATCTCAATATCCTCAATCTCAATATCCTTTATCTCAATAGTCTCTTTCTCAATATTTCCTATTTCAATACCGTCTATCTCAATATCCTCTATCTCAATATCCTCTTTCTCAATATCC